CGCTTGATTTAATGTTCGGTCGGTAGAGGGCGTGAGAGTCGATTTAATGCAACATCGCATTAATTCATTCGAACTTTTTAATTTATTATTGTAATCTATAATCATACGTTGTTTGGTTTTTGAAAAATAAATTATATGGTAGCTTCCCTGAGGACTGATAGTTAGTATTGTGGTGTGAAAAATGTGGTGTGAAATAGTGCCTTTCAGGTTCCTCTTTTTACAGAACACACTGACGATTATCAAGTACCTCGGCAAAACCTGCTTGACACCTTTGTACTGGTCACCTCACAGGTAAATAAAAGGCACAAACTCCTCTCCACATCCTAAATCTCTGCCAAAGACAATTTACCATCCTACTATGAACATGCGTTCTGAATCACTATGAATAGGTGAGCCTAATCTGTTCCACGCTAGTCTCAGTTGTTATGAGACAATAGTCCGCTATTTTTGAACTGGGTGGGTCCCCTCTGTCACGGGACTGCGAGGTAGTTGAGGCCTCGGCTACACTTAAGCCCATTCTACATTTAAGGTCACAACATACGTATTGCCATTGGGAGCAGACGACAGTTTCCCATTTTGAAAGAACTAATGTTCAGATGGATCCGTATCTTTGCTGTTCTTGATTTCTAGTCGTTGTTTCCATGTAAAATCCTTGGTCGTTCCATAGCCGTTGGCTTTTTATATATATATATTCCTCCAAGAAAAGAACATGGAGTCAACCAGTTCTAAAGTTAGAGATATCGAAGTGGTCTAATAGGACTAAGACAGAAATATTACGATTCAATACCATTCATGGAAAGCTTGTACTCGGGAAACTTTGGAACTTGTGTAACTGGTTTAACGTAAGCAAAAGGTTGATCTATGCTGTTGTCAAGTTAGGCATTTTACGGATAACATCGGGTTTGTTTCTGCTCTGTGGCGATGAGAGTAATGACATTGTGCATCATCAGCCGCTTGTCTGTGATCTAAGTTACAGCAGGAGAGAAATACACTGTATGAGAAACTATGTGATGATCTGACACTCCATCAATATTTGCTTCTGGGAGATTGTGTGAATGATGAACGAACTAAGGATGTGACACTACTCGTAGAATGCATGGACAACACGGACCACGTTCATAAACATCGTCTCCAGTGAAATCAGTTCCTGGGACCTACAGTCCATACTGTACCTGTAGAATATACATTCAGTGTGTCAATAATGTCCCGTGGGACTCTGGGGTGGCTGTATGTCGCCCAGCAAATCTATTGATCTACCATGTCTCTCATTTTCTTTCAGTAGCCACTAAATTGATATAATGTTAAAATATATTAGTCTTTGTAATAATTGTACTCTCCGTAACTAGTGGAATTCATTCATTCAATATTATTAAATGTTATAATAAACACCCTAAATATAATCACCCACTCACTCACTTACTAAAAATAAACTCATGTACATACTGTTATAGACATATAACGCTGTGCGTGCAAGTGCACACTTTGTTAAGACACCCCGTGCACCAAAGTATTAAACGCCTGTCTTGAACAATCCCCAGAACAAGTTATTGTCTATGACACTCTATGTATGTGTTCGTCAACTGGTTCGTAACGAAGGTTTTATCACGAGCTAACACAAGCAGTAACTATGTGCCAGCAGCACCCAAACGGTATGGCTAATGTCTTGTCCTTTCTAACCGATATTTATAGTATTTAATAAAACTGATCTCGTCACTATGTGACTGAAATATTGTAACGTAAAATGGTAACTCAGTCACAATAATTAATTATCAGATATTCAAAGGGTGAATGGAAAACCTAAATCTACGTCGATATCGGTGTTCACAAATCAAAATAGGGCAAAGGGACTAAAGCTACCAAACATACAAATTCACTAAAGTTTATCTTGAAACGTCAGCTCAGCAGCTGTGGCGAGTCTGATGTCGCCGTATATGCTAGGTTGTCACGCCTGGATGACAGATGTCTGGTGTTTGAGGTCGGTGGAAGATGTACCCAGACAGAACCCTGGGGAAGGTGACAAGCCGGGATATCAAGAACATCTATGAACACTTTGACATTGAATATTTAACTTGGGTCCACACATAGAACTGTTGACAGTTACGCCAAATGCGGTTATCCGGTTTCATCATTGTAATTGGAACAAGGGCTATATTTCGCTATTTCTGATATAAGATTGAATTGTGTGAAACTGTTATTGTGTTTAGTAGAATCTCTTTTTATCTAATTGCTCAACAGTAGAACATATGGCAGGGACCTAGCACTCATGAAGAGTGAGTGAGTGAGTTTGGGTTTACACCGCATTCAGTAATATTCCATATATGGCGGCGGTCTGTAAATAAGTCGAATCTGGACCAGACAATCCAGTGGTCAACAGCATGAGCATCTACGCAATTGGGATACAATGACATGTGTCAACCAAGTCAGCAAGTCTGACCACCCGACCCTGTTAGTCGGAAGAACCAAATTCAAAAGGCACAGCATCTCGGAATTAAATCTGTTTACCTTCGTGATGTGACGCATGCGAGGTGAAATCTATAGTGAGGATGATCTAGTATCTAGAAATACCCAGAACATCTTCAAGCGTAAGACAGACGCTTGCCTTTTCACTTCCATTGAACAGTTTGTTTAAAAAAAAATGGTGGTTATCTATATCAGCTTCTCGCATATTATACAAATGGAAACTTTTGAATTTGGAGATAAGTTCAAATTCATAAATAATTTTGTTGGTGTTCCACACAGATCTTGCACCTTGGTCATCTAGTGTCCAAGTGACATTGTGGGCTGCAAGTTTCCCAACAGTAAAATGTTAGGCAGTAGGGGCACTTGACCGGCCCACATGAGGTGATGACAGCATGGCATGGAGATAGGACAGGGCTTAACAGGAGGGCCAATAAATATGCCTTTCACTTATAGCGTTATCTGATGGTTGTATGATGTGACTTCTAATTGGTAATGACCCCAGCACGTGTAGCCCTTAATGCAGATGTTCTTAGTCTCTGAATCTCTGGTCTCCCTAGGGCTCCTTTTCAATATAAATGGGCTTGTTTGTTACTATCCAAATTATATATATTCAGAGACTAAGCCTTAGTCTAGGGTGGCTGTATCTCGCCCAGGAAATCTATTGATCTACCATTTCTCTCATTTTCTTTCAGTAGCCACTAAATTGATATAATGTTAAAATATATTAGTCTTTGTAATAATTGTACTCTCCGTAACTAGTGGAATTCATTCATTCAATATTATTAAATGTTATAATAAACACCCTAAATATAATCACCCACTCACTCACTTACTAAAAATAAACTCATGTACATACTGTTATAGACATATAACGCTGTGCGTGTAAGTGCACACTTTGTTAAGACACCCCGTGCACCAAAGTATTAAACGCCTGTCTTGAACAATCCCCAGAACAAGTTATTGTCTATGACACTCTATGTATGTGTTCGTCAACTGGTTCGTAACGAAGGTTTTATCACGAGCTAACACAAGCAGATAACTATGTGCCAGCAGCACCCAAACGGTATGGCTAATGTCTTGTCCTTTCTAACCGATATTTATAGTATTTAATAAAACTGATCTCGTCACTATGTGACTGAAATATTGTAACGTAAAATGGTAACTCAGTCACAATAATTAATTATCAGATATTCAAAGGAAGCGAATGGAAAACCTAAATCTACGTCGATATCGGTGTTCACAAATCAAAATAGGGCAAAGGGACTAAAGCTACCAAACATACAAATTCACTAAAGTTTATCTTGAAACGTCAGCTCAGCAGCTGTGGCGAGTCTGATGTCGCCGTATATGCTAGGTTGTCACGCCTGGATGACAGATGTCTGGTGTCGCCTTGTTGGTCGGTGGAAGATGTACCCAGACAGAACCCTGGGGAAGGTGACAAGCCGGGATATCAAGAACATCTATGAACACTTTGACATTGAATATTTAGAATCAATCGACATAGAACTGTTGACAGTTACGCCATCTTTTATTATCCGGTTTCATCAAAGTAGTTGGAATAATGCTATATTGTCGCTATCAAAGAAAACACTCCATACTGAATTACTTCTCAACTGTTATTGTCATAGTAGAATTTACTTTCTAGAGCCCCATTCTCTTCCCACAGAGGTTACTCCTGTCACATCTTCCTACGTAGGAATATATGACAGGAGTGTGGAAAGAACTAGAGGTGTGGACAGCGGATGAGTGATAGATATGGGGACAGCGACAGCTGCTGTTTAGGTGGTACACACACCTGTTCACGGCAGACCAGGTATTCCAATACGTTCATAAACTGAATCATTCGTGGAAGCATGTGAGTATCTTTCTATTTCTTCAAATACACATAACGTGGACTCAGCTGTACCGGTGGTCTAAAGGACCTGTGGAGGAATATTTTAATTGGATTCATCAATCACAAACATGATGTTCGATGAAATTCCCCATTTGTTAGGTTACCTTATTTTTCAGGTGAACAGTTTACCAGGCGTTATATTTGTTCTTGACGAGGGACACAGGTGAGACATTCATCTCGTCGCTCAGCTGGTCTCATCATTAAGTGATAGTGATTCATAAACACATGCTCATGATACAGTCAGACTCGTCCAGCCGACTCTGTTTTTAGAAGGTTTTCAGTTTTGCAATAACATATTTGTAATATAAAAAACGATCATCGAACCCCTCTGTGGCAGTTGCGGTGGCTCAGCGGGTTTGGCGGCTGACTATGTAAGCTGGCGTTTAGGTGCCTGACTCTGAGGGTGCGAGTTCGAATCCGGGATGGGAAAAAAAAGTACTAGAATTTGTACTTTACTAAGAAAGTGTTATCCCAAATATAACATATGTTACATTTCAGGTGTGTTTCGACCGGACATTGAGACCGGTTATTCCTTGGCCTGGGTGTTTCATGAAGTTTCAAAAAAGGCGATCACTGTTTTAACGTTCAGCAAAGTTTAAGTAAAATTTTGATAATTCGAAGAAATAGAAATATTATGTGCACAGACATGAGACGACACATGATAACAGTTGGACTAAAACGTCTGAAGGTGGTGTTGATCGGGTCTGTGTTGGTTCTGCTCCTTGTTCTTGGGTACGTCACAGTGACGGGCGTGGTTAACCCCTCCCAGCTGACGCAGTGGCAAGGCAAACATATACAAAGGAAAGGGTTACTGGTGCTGGCGGACCAGAACGCAGCAGCTCAACGTCGGCTTCACAATCAACTACCCACTCCTCAATATCTCAGACGAGTCCAAATGTATCAGGACATTCAGAAATATTTGGAAAATGCCCGTTACAACAGGACCGTGTGGAAGGAACTTGATCTCAGGGTAAGAGGCAGCTGTGTAGTCGTTGTTTTAGTGGTAGTAGTTGTTGTACTAGTAGTAGTGATGTGAGGTGAAAGGGGGTTTAACGTCGTACCTGAGAATATTTCACTCATATGACGACGTGCATGCGTGTGTATGTGTGGCTGCTTGTACTAGCCCAGACTTAAGCTGGTTTTATAGTGCTAGTTCACTGAGAACACCATGCAGCGGTTAAGCATGAAAACCCCACTCAGACTCATTATACTGACTCCGAGCCGACCAGTATTCATTAATGCCGAGCGCCAAGCCGGGACCAAAAAGTCCAAAAACGAAGCGACTCTCCATTATCACGGCATTATCACAGTCAAACATTTACTTACCAAAAGTAACGAATCTTAATAGTTGAAATACTAACAATTTCTTTAAGATTAGTCATGTAACAGTTGAAACTTCTATACATTTGGATGCAAGGTAACAATAAAGTAAAAAACAACTTTTAACCAAGATTCAGGGACAACTAGGCAAATAAATCGACCGAGATAACGAAATATGACGATTGTACAGTTACAGTCACTCTTCGTACATCTACCTCTAGAAGATACGGGGCGGTGGGGTAGCCTAGTGGTTAAAGCGTTGGCTCGTCACGCCGAAGACCCAGGTTCGAATCCCCACATGGGTACAATGTGTGAAGCCTATTTCTAGTGTCCCCCGCCGTGATGTTGCTGGAATATTGCTAAAAGCGGCGTAAAACCAAACTCAGTCACTCAGTCAGTCTAGAAGATACAATGTATTCTCAGGTGCTACTGACACGACATATCATTTAATGTTCATTCTGGCATTGATCAATACTGACATGCTGGAGGTGGTGTTTAGACAATTACTAAAGACCCTTTCTTTGTAACTGGCTCCCAGGAAGTGTAGTTTCAAACTATCCCTTTCTGGTTCTTTCTCACTTATAACAGTTGTAGTGGTAGAATCTTTCAATCTTTGCTAAAGACGACCATGATAGTAGTATATCTTCACCATGTGAACTGACTTCCACTATAATCTACACCTTGAATAATCTGTGAAGCATTTCTTCAAGCCAACCTACAAACCTGTTCAAGAATTCAAGAACCCATGCTGGTGGGAGGAGCAAGTTCCTGAAAACACTTGTTATTTGGCTGAGAAATCATTAAAGAAGTCACTCAGATGGATGGAGTCGGGAGGGGGGAAGACCCTGCGCTGCCTCCCCTACTTCTTCATCATAGGACAGGCCAAATGTGGCACCACGACACTTTTCAGTAGAATAGTACAACACCCTGACGTCGCACCCCATGCCATGAAAGAGACTCATTGGATATGTCATGGTCGACTAAGTAGGTTTAAAATTGTTTTAATAATGATAGTGCACATCTATAATGAGCTAGTTTCCACGCTTGCAGCATGCTCAAGGCGCAACAGTTAAAAAGTACATAGGAAGGGATGATGAGAAAGTTATTATGATTCGTAGAACTGGCGGAAAAGGTTTTGAGGCTCACTTTGAATGACTCAAACGTTGGAGAAAGATTAAGGTCTTGGGGAAGAAAGTTCCATATGTAGGGGGTATAATGTTCAAAAGATCTCTGGCCGTATTGTTGCACTGTCAGTAGGTTCTGGTGTTGAGATCTTAGTAACCATGCAGGGACATATTCTGATATCAGCTCTGATATGTATGAAGGAGATTGCTCGTGCAGAGATTTATATGTCAGACAGAGAATTCTGAACGGGATCCTTGCTCTTATTGGAAGCCAGTGGAGATTTCTAAGAACTGGGGTGATGTGGGATTTCTTGGAGGTGAGGGTCACGATTCGCGCTGTCGTATACTGCACCTTTGAAGTTTGTCAAGGAGTCCTACATAGAGGCTGTTACAGTAGGCAAATCTATTCATTATCAGGCATTTAGCTGGACAGATTCTTGAGAGGCATTTAGAAGTTGGTGAATATATAAGACGAGTATGTGGATGACAACTTCTTGTTTATTGTATAACACAATGTTTCTGGGCTACTTTCTGCCCCTTCTTTATGTCAATCACCTGCAAGAGGGCAAGAAGTAGCCCAGAAACGTTGTGTTATACAATAAACAAGAACTTGTCATCCATATACTCGTCTTATATCTAGCTAGACAATTAGCAGCTTATGTTTTATATCATGTGGAATGCAATAGTTGCATGCATTAAGCAAAGGCAAGGGTCAAATAAGCCTTCTCTTAATAACCTAGATACTTAAAATGTACATTTGGTCTTGGATCGGCTTTGAAAAGCATGTCCTATTGGCATGAGCACAGAACGACAATCACAAATTGAGTGCAGTCAGGCTATATGTTGCTGCTGAGTATAAGTAAAAAGTGTATGAATACTAAGTACAATGTGTGAGTGAGCGATGAAGCTATGAAAAGTAGTACATGTGTACGATTGTCAGCTTGCCATTGGAGGATAACTAGAATGATGCAGGTTTGAGACTTTAAAATGCTTTGACTGAAAACCATCCACACTGGCATAGTGCTGACAAACCTCCAAATCGTTACCAAATCGTTCAAACTATGAAAAGGGAGACAATTCTGCACAACATATTCCGGCGCCTTAGATGACTGTTTTCCCTAATTATGACTACGTAAATGTAGATCAGCACCATGGTGATATGGATAATATGTCTACACTGAACAATTTTTAATTGTGCAGACAACAAACTACCAGAGTAGTTTGAGTACAAAGCAATAGCGTTTCCGATTTTGGGTTACACCATTTTCGTTTTCTTTCCAAGTGTTGTACATAGTGACATTTTGTGAAAGAAATTAACGAGACCTTTCAACATACCTTGAGTACAGATTGAAATGAAATCGTTATATCATGGAATTCTCTGTCCCTTTTTGACATAAAGGATGCCTGCGAAATGTCCCATTTGCACCCCAAGTACCAAATGTTATATTCCCCATTGTTCTTATATGCCCGGGTTTGCGGCCAGGGACACAGTTCCTCAGACATTGCCGGGTGAAATGTTTCCAAGCCCGTCATGTGCTTTTGCAATGTCGACAAGTCCCCGGTTGCGTCCGTTATACTCAAATTCCAAAGCTAGGGAAGTGTTCACCTAAGGAAACTCGATAACGTATGGTACAAGCCCAAATGGGAATTGGTTCAAAATATAAGTTTCCATAAAATATGGTAGCAACTCTCACATGATATCCATCAAACATTTAATCTCAAATAGCAACACCGATTATAAGATATCTTCAAACATTTCATGTCACCTCGGAACACAGATTTCTTGATATGCTTCAAAAATATATCTCACGTACCGACCTTAGGGACCGTTCATTATTTATGGGTGGGGGTGGGTGGGGGGATGATGATGATTTTTATGGAGAAGCATATACAATGTGTATGACCCCTTCCCCTTTAAAACTATGTACACAGTAAGTGACCCCCCTACCTCCACACAACAAAATGGGTGACCCCCCCTTAAAATCACAACACCACCCCTCTAGCCATAAATTGTGAACTGTCCCTTAATGACATAACATGCATAAAATTATGATCACACGTCATAACATCGATTACATTTTATATCCTTCAAGAAATTATGGGGTTTCGTTTCAGAACCTTCCTGTTCATCGATCGAGACTTACCTCAATCTGCTGCAGACAAGCTCTGCATATATTCAGAGCAGACAAAGACAAGGTGAAGTCAGTCAATATGTGATAGGTAATAGCATTTATTAATATGTAATTTAGGTAAAATAATATTTGAGGCTAGTAGTACTATACTTCGGAACGTGGACATTAATTGCGATTGATTGCTTTTTGACTCTCCACAGGTGATGCCACGCCAACCCATTTCTCCACGCACGGCTTTTGGGACATGTTGCCTGGCAACGAAGGATGCGCGGAACCATGTGTGACAGATGCTGACGTCATTCACCATCTGAACCCTCGTGCTAAACTCCTGCTGATCCTCCGGAACCCAACGACCAGGTAACGTGTAACAGTCCATCTCGGAGTACATTTATCGGAGTGAGAGCAGGAATTTGATTTAGCTCAGCTGTAACAGTATTTCAGTTAGGTTACAATCTGTCAACGTGGTGTGGGAGGGAAACCGATATAAAGCAATCCTTTGACGTGCGGCACTCTAGTAAATCCCCCAACACCTACCGACAAACCAATATAATCTGGCTAGGTGGAATGCGAACCCACGACCATCCGATTCCAGGCGGAGAACTGAGGTGAGGTGAAATTGGGTTTTACGTCGTGCTTGAGAATATTTCGCTCATATGACGACGGCGGAGAACTGAAGAACTTGACAAGGTTGAATCATACTGAGAGTGGAGCTGTGATTAAGGACCTGCATTAGAAGGGCATGTATCCAAACCAAAACTTTCAAAGGCAAGCTGGGGGTGATTGGCTTTTTAACCGAACTGTGAAATGGCCTAATGAATTTAAACGAGGCAAGGACCACATGTAGATGGTCCCTTGCATTATGCTATGACGCATGATGTGTTTATACCTCACTCTAGCGTTTAACATTCCCACCTGCCCGGCCGTCCGGAACGGTCTATTTTCATCTCGGACGGTCAAATTTCAAAAGTAGCCTGTCCGGTGGTCTGGTAGATGTTTTTACCCCTAACAGTAAATATTTCATAATATCAGACAGGTTCTCTGGTCGTCAGTTTGAGGCGTTTAAGGTATTATGATAATTATGTTAAACTATTTACGATTGGACAGTTCATTTTACAATAACCAATCACAACACATGTACTTCCAGTTTACCTAAAATCGGTGCATTGCCTGTTAGTGCTATGTTGTTCATTGCGATGCTTGCAAACAGTAAAGTATTCAGAAACCTGATTTTTGTTTTCATTGTTGAAAACAGGGCAGGTAAGTTTGTATCCGGACTGGTAATTTGTTAAAGTTATCAGTCCGGCTGTCTGGCTTGGAATTTTGGGAGTTTTAAACACTGCTCACTCTATTTACTATCATTCCAGATGGTCACAAATATGGTGTTCTAACGGTATATTGCGCATTTCAGTTCCAAATAGGTCGAAATCAGGAACTTGTTTATGCCATAATTTTCTTCTCCACACAATGAATTTCTGTGACAATTAATTTCAACGCGAAATGTTGTATTTTCAGGCTCTACTCCCAATATTTTTACAAAAGCTACATATATGAAAGGAAGGTGTCCAAACAGGATTTCCACGACTTGGTTGTCACGGAGATTGCGAAATTCCAAAACTGTCTGACATCACAGTCTCTCCGAAGTTGCTGCCACAACTATTCATCATCACATTATCTCACAGCATTCGTATGTATCCTTGTCTATATATCATTCTCTCACAACGGTGATATGTACATGTATGCTACATTCTCTCACAGAGGATATGCGTTCCCCTCTTAATATATACTGAACATCATTGAAAACGCACCACCTGTAAATTTTGAAAAATGGTAATAGGATTGTTTTGAGAGTGAAAATGAACGTTGGAAATGTTGTTAATAACACAAAAGACAGTAAATAATGCTGTAAAGAACGGATTTCCCGAACACATCATGGAACACATCACATGACAACAACAAAATTCATGCACAACACACACGAAAAGCACAAATTGCATGCATAAAATATGCTGATTAGGGGTATAAATGACCGTCGGCAAAAAACCGTTCTCATTTTAGCTGTACCTCCGCAGGTAAAGTTTATTTTGCAATGCCAAGATTGTCACCAGAGGAACGAGAACGGGCGTTGGGCATGTTGCAGGTTGGCACATCAAGCAGGATTATTGCCAGACGATTTGGTTGCCATCATTCCACCATCATAAGACTTGCCAACAGGTACTAACAAACAGGAAGCACCAGGGACCGCCAACGTCCTGGCCAGGCACGTGTTACCACCCCTCGCAAAGATCGAGACATTGTTCGGCGCCATATTCGGGATCGTACAGAAGAATCACCATTTTGCCGGCTGGCAGAACCGCCAACGCTGTCCAAGGCCGACGTGGTTTGATCAGATGCTTCCACCGTCCGACCCCGTCTGACTCCCCGTGCAGCAGGATTACGGTGTCGACGCCCTTATGTTGGACCCATCCTGACTGATCGATATCGCCGTGAACGCCGACGATGGGCTGAACAGCATCGTTTGTGGTTGTTACGACATTGGCATGGTGTTGTGTTCTCCGACGAGTCACGTTTTCACTTGCGAAATGCTGACGGGCGTCTACTGGTATGGCGTCGACGGGGAGAACGTTTCCATCAGGACTGTGTTGTGCAAACAGATCGGTGGGGTTGAGTCAGCATTGTGGTGTGGGGAGAGATCAGTTATCATCACAAAACCGCTCTGGTAGTTTGTCGTGGCAGAGTGAATGCCCTTTACTACAGTGACACCATTCTTCAGAACAACGTCGTTCCCTTCTTTAACCAACATCAAGATCTGCACACATTCCAGCAGGACAATGCTCGAGCGCACACTGCACGTGTTGCAACACAGTTTCTGGCAAATAACAACATTCCTCTACTTCCATGGCCTTACATTGTCACCAGATTTGAACAGTCGTGGGATTACATCGGTCAACGCCTCTCACGTCGCCCACAGATCAACAACCTTGGGGAACTTGAGAATGCCTTGCAACAAGAGTGGAATGCATTGCCTCAAAACATTATTCAGAGACTTATCAGTTTAATGAGGAGACGTTGCACAGCTTGTGGTGCTGCTAACGGTGGTCATACACGTTACTGACTTTCCAATTTGACTCCATCTTTATTTCATGGTCAGCTGAATTAAAACGTCACTGTTTTGCTGGATTGGTTCTTGTTTCTTTTCTTTACCAATCATTGGACTACAAAAGTATGTAAAATTTACACCGATTGCTCATTTATGCTCTTGGAAATCCAAACTAATACAGGTGGTGCGTTTTCAATGATGTTCAGTATATTTTCCGAGAGTGGTAAAACGTTTCCCTGTGTTATCCCATCCCTCACAGAAGTGGAACATGCTCATCCACAAGTACCCGTTATAGTCACTCACGTGGAGTGAGTGGGTGAGTGAGTGAGTGAGTATGGTTTAACAGGCTACCCACCGTCTCATACTCCCGGAAGTAGTAGGTGTGGCTGTTATATTCTCTACCAGAGGTGATAGTGTTAGTCTTTGATATAAGCACGTATGTCAGAGGCTGAAGGTATCTCATCACATACCTGCAGCACTTTCGCCTTTAGGGCAGGTATTATGCTGACAAAGGCTCATTATCTGAGAATCGAACCCATGATCAGCTGATCCCTACCAGATAAATTCTGCGGGGGTAATCGCTGCACCTCGGAAGGGCTACCTTTATTACCTACTGTATTCATGTATGTTTTATCATTTTGTTTTGAAAGGTGGATCTGCGTGGATCTATATACCAAGTGTTTTTGGCCGACTGGATGGCAAACTTTCCTAAAGACCAAATACATGTCCTGAAGTTTGAAGATTTTGTGGAAAATGAAAAAGCACATCTTACGGGCATTTTCAAATTCCTCAATTTGAGTGAGTGTACCGTTTCAGTTGCAGATGTTTCCATGATGTATTTTTGTACACAGTCAACTCAACAGTACAACATCTAAATGAAAACACATATTATTGATAACCATAAACGGTTCATGTCTTCATTATATGAATTTTATTACAAATCATATTATTGAATTGATTTTGACCTTACAGGTAATCTGTCAGACGAAGAGCTGGAATACATAACGAATATGAAGGCATTGAACCAAAGGGACTACGGAGTTGATGTCGGGGACATGATGAACTCAACACGCGCTCTTCTGGACACATTTTACAAACCATATAATGAGAAACTTGCATTATTTATGGAAAACGAAAAATGGAATTGGTAAAAGTTAATCAATCCACAAAGAAGAAGAAGAAGAAGAAGAAGAAGAAGATGATGATGATGATGATGATGATGATGATGATGTACAATAGAAGGTTCTACACATTTCTAGAAAATAAACCATTATGCTATATTTGTATGTTACTAATACGAAAGGATACTCATTGTCCATATCCGAAAAATTACATGTCATGCATACACTACTCATACATATATACTATGAATATATTCAATTTCTATATTATATTCGTACATTAAATGTATGAGCAAGTTCTGTAAGTTTGGTGGCGATGTGTAAGAACCAGAGTTCATCATTACGTTCACAGATCTAAACATCCATAACTCATGATTACGTTCACAGACATTCGTGTACTGTGGCTCAAGCGTACATAAAATAACATAATGTTTGATACTTACATAAGATTTATTGAAGGTCCGTCCATCAAACACTACGCCGAATGTACAGCCCAGGAAAGCTATTTAGAACTTCAACTTGAACGTTTGAGAAAAATTTATTTCGAATATCTGCCTAAATAGATTCCTTGACGAGCACATTATGGAAACAAATTAATGGGAAAATAGGTAACATGTTGTTAGTCATATTTATCTCAATTTATTACTTTCCTTTAGCGAATGTGATCTGGCCAGGTCATTGTGACCTTTTCCCTTCAAATGAGACAAGTAACGTCCATACAGGATGTAATGGCTTGACTACAGCAACGGTGTTACCGCCAACACTCACGGCGACCGAAACACTCTTAAAGCTCCTGTTTACAGAATACACTGACGATTATCAATATCAAACCCGGTAATACCTTAGCACGTTTTACCTCACTAGGAATTACCATGAAACAGAGTTGATACAAGGTGTTGATGAGACGGTGAGCCTAATCTACCCCGCGCTATAGCTAATCTCTAGCTGGTTGCTTATATAACCCCAAGAAAACATGGGTACATATACTCATCGAGTCTGAACGTCTCAGCAGTGGCACGAAGCATACCTAGTCTTATCTCGTCTCGGGTTCCTGGATTATCAAAGATATCAGTGGCTAAATCGTCACCAGTATCAAACGTCGTATTCTACTGAGTGTCAACAGGTATTTTCCGTACCACTTAAAAGACCATTGAAATATTCAAACCATTCTTGTAGATCTATATTACATCATATTTCTCAAAAAGTAGGTTTTTTAAGAGTAATGCCAGAATTCTTTTGCAATTTTTATTTAGCATCTCTCTAGTTGTATCTAGAAACCTGTGCCGTTTTTTCTCTACAAGTACATTTATTCGCATTTCTTGCTTTAAGACACACATGTTCATAATAAGATGCAGGCGCGCAGCAAGCCAATGTTTTCGTGTAAGCCCCATTGGTTGCAAGGCTTTAAATTTAGATAGTATTGCTTTTACCTCATGTAAAAGATAGTGAATTATAGTGAAGTGAAGTGAAGTGAATCATAGATAGTGAAGTTTTTTATTCCCAAAAGATATACATGTTACATACAACAGGCACTTATCAAATACATACAAACCGGCTTTCAGTCGCCGTCATCATGAAAGTGATTAATAATCATAATATGTGAATAATAATGGTATATCATCATATAATTATTCTCTGTGGGACCACAGTAAGTCTAGGTAGATTTATATATATAGCAGGTAATTTGTATCCAATACATACCTATATACATAAAAACAGGTTTCAAGTCACGGTCATCATGGATGTGTACAGTAATCATTATCTCACTAATGATAATATCTGATTAGTAATAGTACATAATCATAATATAATTATTCCATGTGGGACCACAGTAGGTCTAGGTAGACTTATATAACAGGCAATTTGTATCGAAAACATACCTATGTACATACAAACCAGCTTTCAGATCACATTCATCATGGAAGTGTATAGTAATCATTATCTGATTAGTGATAATACATGATTATTAATAGTACGTCATCCTATACTTAATCCCTGTTGGACCACAGTAGGTCAAGGTAGACTTGCATATAACAGGTACTTTGTATTGAATACTAGTACATACATGCATACATGCAAACCAACTTTCAGGTCACAGTCATCGTGGAAGTGTACAATAATCATTATCTGAGTAATGATAATATCTGATTAGTAATAGTACATTATCATATAATCATTCCATGTGAACCACAGTAGGTCTAAGTAAACTTACATGTAAACAGGCAATTTGTATCGAATGCATAGATAGATACATACATAAAAACCAGCTTTCCAGATCCATTCATTCTGGAAGTGTGCAGTAATCATTATCTGAGTAATGATTATATCTGATTAATGATAATACAACTTCATGTAATTATTCTATGTAAGACCACACTGAATCTGGGTAAACATTGCATATTGCGTATAATTGTGCTAGGAGAGTGTGGAGAGATGACCAAAATGTAAAAAAAATTAGCTTGGTCAGCGCGTGCAAGATAGTGAATCATGGTGCTTATTTTTTTTCAGAAAAATATGTTTCAAATCACATTGTTCGTTTTAAAGTTATTCACATTCACAATGGAACAAATGTTTTATATTGCTACGGGACTTTACTTCCCTTCTTACAGTTTCCGCAGCAAAGAAAGATGCTGTGATATGCATGTACTTTCATCAAAATTAAAAAAGCAACAACGCCTCTTTCCAAAGGTTCTGATGACGTATTACGTACGAATATGTCCTCCTTATTTTTGTCCTACTTGAATTTAAGACAAACCTGAAACGCGGGGGTGTTGGACGCACGTAACGTCATCACAAGTGGATGATGATGTGACTCGTTGATGGTGACGAGATACGTTTCACAAATACAAACAAATATCTACAGTTGCAATGATGTAATCTATTCCACTAACTCCAATATTACTAATATATGTGAAATCTCCTTTACCCGAGTCACAAAGTCACGTTTCACAAATACAAACAGTATCTACTCTGGCAATGATGTACATTATGTAATTTATTACACTAGCTCTAATATTACCATATTAGCAATCACGTCCACAGTTTCTATTCGTAATGCATACATTTAATACAGAGTATATAAGTTAAATCATTTACTAAACATTTTAAAAACTTTATTAACAGAATATAAGATCCGAATATAATGAGATATTTTGATCATCTGAATACTCGAGAAAATCATCCTCAACCAAACCTAGCTCTGTTCCAAGTCCTTGCATTATAGTCCCTGTCCGATGTACATGATACTTCACCCATCTGGTCATCAATTTCTAACAATATTGTAGTTTAATGGCGTTCTCTGAATCAGCAAACCTATACCATGTAGAATTTTCTTAATGAATGTAAAACATAACAGTAAATAATATTTATATCAAACAAAAACTCGCTTTGTCAATACAGCTGTCTTTCACCCAAGTTAATTATGCCACATTGTTTTTATACAAAAACATATATTCCGCCTGACAATGCTGTTTTACAGCTATGCTACTTTCATCACGTTTGTCAATGCAGGTTCCTGTCAAACAGTTGGTATAAAGTGATTTGAAATATGAAAAACACTCAGAGTCAGCTGTCTTCGATCGCAGTCCAGGTATGTTCCAGAACAGGTTCACATCCACTGACTTACGATTCGAGCACTGACCACACCCCTATTTGTGCCCCTGAGAGCGGCTTGTATTGGTATCCTTGCCCCTGGGTGAGTGGGGTGAATCTCCTCTGTCACGTGACTGAGAGTTAGTAGAGGAATCGGATTGCGTGTTAACAGCTGTTGTTAAAGCGTAGGTAATACGTCTTGGAGCAGACGACAGTTTCTCATTTTGAAAAAACTAATGTTTAGATGGATCCGTATCTTTGCTCATCTTCATTTCTTGTCTCTGTTTCCATGTAAGTTCGTTGACTGTCCCATAGCCGTTGTTTTACAATGTATCTCTCAAACATACCGCCATTATCTTCTGCTCCGAGTGCAACACTTTTGCAATAACAGTGATACGCAAATTACAAGTGATACGAATATGATACCACCATACATGAATATAGAACTTATGATACAAGAATAATCTGATTGCACTCTGAATAAACATAATGAACTCATTGTATCATTCTTCCGAGTACATACGTGTTATAAACATAACAAGCTTGGCGTTTGAATGCAAACTTTGTAACATTAAGGCACTCAAGATATGTATATTTCTCGGATGCCTAAGATTTTGCAAATTTTGACAACCTTCAACCTACAACCTTCTCCAGCTGACAGCTGATAGCTTAGGGCATTTGACAACTTATGGTTGCTTTGAGCCTCTCCCAGAACTCTGGTTTCTCATCCTCAGTTGTAGGATACCTCATGTAGGTTCCATACCTAATCTCATCCTGCAGGTCTCTGCTCAGCCGACTGGTATCAGGCACGTCAGAATACCACACGACACACAGGACGTCCCTACCTGTGTGAATACTCTCCAGCTTGGCCATGTGGACCTCATAGTCGCACCACGCACTCTTGGAGAAGTTAGGTGACAGAAGAATAATGGTTTTCCTGCTCGCCTGAACAGCGTTGATGATATTGGCAGTGATGGCTTCTCCGACCATGAAGTCTCGGTGGTGTATGCAAAGTCTCAAGCCATAGTGTCGCTCCAGCATGTGACGCATGTCTTCAACAACAAACCCTCTGTCCTCATCAGCATATGAAACGAAAGCATCGTAGGTGAAATTTTCCTCCTCTTCTTGTCCTTGAAGTCTCTGATATCCTCTATATTTGCGTCTTGTAGTATAGTACAGATAGCGTATCTTCCACCGGTATCGGTAAATTACACCACCTGCCACTATCAGCAAGAAGATTATGATTCCAGACAGTGTTGCGGCAAATAATGGAGCATCTATTTTACACTGTTGCTGCAGTTTCCATACAATATTGTCTATATTGTGAAATGTTGTTCTTTCTCCATTGGTAAATCGACACCTCGTAACATTAGGTCTTTCGATGGAAATCCGGGCCTTCGATAGTGCTTCTAAGAACTGAAGTGTACTGCAATCACATATAAGATTGTTGCCTTGGATGTTCATGTGAAATGTGTCATTTCTCGGTTTCATTATTTGACCAATTTGATCTGTCAGATATTTTGGGACATACTCAAATTTGTTGTTTGACAAATCCAAAGAAGTGAGAAATGACATATGGCTGATCATCACAGTCCATGTCTTCATAGTGTTCCAGCTTAAATCAAGAATCCGAAGATTGTAAAGGCTTTTGAAAATAGGTGATGGTAAATCAAGAAGGATGTTATTTGAAAGTCGTAGTATTTCCAGTTTTGTAAGGTTGAAAAATAAGTGCCCATGCACATCAGACTGAAGTGAATGAGATAAATAATTTTTACTCATGTTAAGAACTTTTAGATTCGAAGCATACATAAAGAACGTAGGAAAAATTAACTTGCAGTAACCGTCTGTGAGATCAAGGAATTCGAGAAAATCTACCCCACGAATTGGACCTTTCAATTCTGAAAACACGTTCCGTGAAAGATCAAGTACTTTCACCTTATTGTGTATGAAATATATTTCCGTAATGGTATAATCTAACGTACTCATGCTTGCATTTACAAATGTGAGATTGGGAGGTATCGATACATAAGCTGTCGTAGATGATCCCAGTACTTTATCTGCCGTATGTTCTTGTAATTGCTTATCTACCAATACACTGTTCTCAGTCAGAGAGCTGTCTATGTTGATGTCGTTATGACGTTGGAAGACTTCCGGATCTTGTTTGAATACAGGTTTCCTTTCTAAACTCCTTCTCGTCATCAAATGATTCCCTTCACCATCGACAGCCTCCTCAGGTGGAAGTGTGATTTTACTTGATGGGTACTGGTTCATCAGATAAAGTTTACGAAGATTTTTCATTTTAGCAAGGGTGAAAATATAATACCCAAATGTGAATCTATTACCCTGTGCTGATACTATTTGAACCTTGTTAAGTTTTCCGGAACAATTGTGGCCCAAACGCTCAATTCTGTTTGCATCACAGTGCAATTCCATAAGATTCATATTGTCCAAATATCTTAAATGATGAGCTGTCATTTCAATACCGATAGCATGTGGTCTGACGATACCATTAAACTTTAAAACCCTAAGAGGTGAATGCTGCAGGCCGTAGAGAGAATCACCCAGTTTGTCAAAGCCAAGATGAGTGTTAAACGAAAGATCAAGCGTCTCGATGTTCCTCAGTGGACCAAATGCGTTTGGTTCAATGAATGAAATATCACAGTAGCTGATATCAAGATGCCTTAAATTTGGTGTATTCTGGAAGGATTCATTATAAAGCTTATCAATCGAACAATTTCCTCCTTTTCCTGACAAACTAAGAATTGTGAGATTCTTCAGTTTAGCAAACCCTTCACCAAATGTTACGTTCTCTATGCCATCAACGATGAATGTTTGAAGCGCCACCAAGTTGCCTAGACATACATCCGGGTACTTTGCGGCCAGGTCTCTGGCGTTTCCGCTAATATTCAAATACTGCAACTTAGTCTGGTTTTGAAATGTTCTGTCTGGGTAGCTTATGTTGTTCAACAGCAACCCGTTGCCATGAAGGTTCAAGAATGTCAGGTTTACCGCTCCCTCAAAACTGTGCACATCCAGAGACGTCAGTTCGTTGTGAGACAGGTCCAGGTATTCCATTGATGTGAACCTTTTAAACTGACCTGTTTCGTTGATGCTGTTGTTAGACATAAGGAGATGGGATACATTAGAAGTGATGTTTGGAGGAACACTGGTCAGCATTCTGTTGGAACAGTTGGCGATGATTTTGCCGTAAGCAGTCGTTGAGCATACGCAGGGCGGGCAGGTGGAATAGATAACGTGAACACATCCCAGGAGCAGGACGATCCTCAGGATCAGCGCCATGCCTGAAATGAAACCATTAATAACCACCAGACAAAACCATGGTCAGAGAAACGTAAGGGACTGAACAGAGAAAGAAGGTAACTGGACAACAGTACGCAATATATATATATGAAGATATGATAGCCGAAGTAAGTCAAAATGTGCTAAATTTTGTATCACGATTCATTTACAACCTCCAAAACATGAAAACAAATACCATTCATTTGAGCAAAATTTAATATTCTCGCCCATGGGTGAAAAAAAAGAAGAATTCTTATTGATTCATTCTTAGCATATATTCATGAATACTGGGTGTTGGATTTGGTCAAAAGCTTTGTCAGGAACTGGTGACAATGCGAAGAGTTCCTGACTTTTTGGGCTTCCAGAATTCAATTGTGACGTGTTAGTTTCATCTTATTTTTAATATGTTGCTGCCATAACGCAAACCCCTCTATGGTACACAGAATGTTTGTAAAGGTTCTGCATAGCTACACTCCTTGTCCTCAACGAGATCAGTAAATCTGACTAACATGCAGTCATAGTAGCCTAGTGGTGAAAGCGTTCATTCGTCACGCCGAAGACACGGGTTCGATTCCCCATATGGGTACAGTGTGTGAAGTTCAATTCTGGTGTCCCCCGCCGTGATATTGGTGGAATATTGCTAAAAGCGGCGTAAAACTAAACTCACTCACTCATTATTCCCATGAACAGGTTGCAGTTAATGAAATATGAGCAATGTGAAACGTTTAGAAAGTAGACCCTGATCACCTCTGATTGTGGGCAGCCATGTCTTTGTCGCCAATTACCAGTGATATTTAGATACAATTGCATCGTCATACTCTTAGGTGTGAGTAGTTAGTTTAGACGTTTGTCAATAGTTGAACCTCAGGCCGGTTAGAGAGACAGCGGGTTTTCTTTTGTTTTTTTATGAACTTCTGACTTGTGGTTTTCTTTGTGACTCGGCTGCACGATTGTAATGAAAACTGAAGATAGAATCCCACGCGTGCCATTCGTACTTAGCATTTCGACACCAGGATCGACAGAAGTGAGTTCATCACGAGTGAGTGAGTGACTTTAGCACTAATCCAGCAATATCACGGGGGTACATCAGAAATGAACTTCACATATTGTAATACATTGCCATAAAAATACATATATTGCCATAAAAGTACGTATATTTGAAGATGAACTTTTAAGATAGATGTACATTCCGCTATTTGTGATTTTTACAAATGAAACCTGTCCTGAGTACTGTAGTTTTCATGGCTTGAAGTCAGTATCAGAGTATACGTTTACTATATATTGATCATTTTGAGCATGATAACCCAGGTGATATTAGTGAGTGAGTGAGTGAGTGAAGCTTTACGCCGCTTTTAGCAATATTAGTAGAGTAAAGTTAAGAACTTCAGAGCCACCCCATGTGGCTCTATGACGTCACCAAGCCACGTGACCATCGAGGGCTTTCTGACGTCATCATTATGCATGATTAAAAATGCAGAATAACTCATTAATATGCAAATATATGCATGACGTCACAGGTAAACAAAGTGAGGTAACAAGTGATTAACTTATGCACTTATGCAATTTAGGGACCATGCCTTCATTAACGGAAAACAATGCACAGTAATTAGCGTAGTGCCATTCCCATATATGGAAACTGCGCGCGCTCATAAACCTATTTTCGAAAAACGTGCACACTGAATGCTGATTGGTTCGTTTACACACATGGTTTTTTCCCCCTCGTTCATGGAACCATCTGTGTACACAGTCAGATTCACTTAATGAGCTCTCGTATCATTGATATGCAATGATATGGATGATGTCATAGGTCATCTATGATTAAACACAATGACTTAATTAGTTGCAATGGAGCCATTCACTGTGTGATTGTTAATTAAGTCAAAACGAGACATAGTAACGACAACCATATATGGTATTTCTACAACGACTAGGGCGGCAGTGTTTTATGAGTCACCGTCAATGGAATGAATGACTTGAGCGTGGAGAGGGGGAGAGAGTTTGTTTTCTAAACAAATAGACATGAGTGTAAGCGGGAGAAATGGGACGCACGCTGGCTTCAAGTTCTGGAGTAGATGAAAATGTTTTAAACTATTTGTCACAGCAGGTTTAATATTTTGATATTTCACCTGAGCTGCTCATGTTAAAAACTTTTGATATCAATTTAATAAATATAGTTAGTTAGTAGTCTGTTTCACCATGTGAGCATTGTGTTTACAGGCACTTCCAATGATGTTTTCCATATGTGACCTCTTCCCTCGCTATAAGACGTCCAGCATGAGTGTAAGGACCTTTAGGCAGAAACATCTCCTCTGTGCGTTACAATGAAGTCAAGTGGGAATCATAACATTTCCGCATAATGCTAAGTACATTTAATATTTACGTCATAAATGGAATTTTTAAACTGTCTGATAACACTAATGAAGTAATCTTTCCCTCATAACATGTAAACATATGGAAATGATAGAACCTTGCTCTGTGTTTGTTTATGGTATGTCGAGGGAGAGGTGACACATGCCTCATTAAGAGTTAAATCACAATAATGATTAACCCCAGAGCCTTCAAACCCTGCCTCATCTAAAAACACAAAAACAAACAAAAAACAAAAAACAACTTCATCTGTTATTTCACTGTTGTAAATTAAACATTATTAGGAGTCTTGGGAGGGGGTCACGGTGACCTGACCGAGAAGGTGGGAACGAGTTCATTTTTGTTGAGCCCGTTCATTTCTTGGGGGTGGGGATGGTGTGTGTGTGTGTGTGTGTGTGTGTGTGTGTGTGTGTGTGTGTGTGTGTGTGTGTGTGTGTGTGTGTGTGTGGTGTGTGTGTGTGTGTGTGTGTGTGTGTGTGTGTGTGTGTGTGTGTGTTTCAGATAACTTAGTGAGTGAGTGAGTTTAGTTTTACGCCGCACTCAGCAATATCCCAGCTATATGGCGGCGGTCTGTAAATAATCGAGCCTGGACCAGACAATCCAGTGATCAACAGCATGAGCATCGATCTGCGCAATTGGGAACCGATGACATGTGTTAACCAAGTCAGCGAAACTGACCACCCGATCCCGTTAGTCGCCTCTTACGACAAGCATAGTCGCCTTTGATGGCAAGCACATGGGTTGCTGAAGACCTATTCTACTCCGGATCTTCACGGGTCTCAGATAACTTAGTAGTTTTATGGGCATGACCTGTATTCATTGTAGATGGAGATAGATAGATTGGGTTTATCAATTAATCATATTGCGTCAGAATTATTGTTTTGTTAAGAATATGTCCGACTTTGTGTTAGCAACTGTATGATACTCAATCACTAGCCGCTACCACCCGTCACCCCTTTTTTCATGGATAATAGATTGAACAGGTTTCTCAATTACTTTGAGAATAAGTTCCAATAAATGTAATTCCCGGGTTACATATCTGACACCATGCAACGGTAAAAGATAAAGCAGTAGTAAACCATGGGTCATAAGAATGGAAGACACCGTAGAGGCACAGCCTCTCGATAGGACTAGCTCTATAGAGTCCTGGAGACTATTTGGAAGAAGCTTAGCGAAGACAGAAACTGTATTTTTTTCTCAAATTTTTATTATCTATAATGTTGTTATTACTTGCATTGTTAACTTATCCTTGGATAGAGGAAATTCAAATATATGGATAGCATTGTTGAGTAGCAGCTTGGGGTATCTACTACCTAACCCTAAAATCAAGTCGCGCTTGTCACGATCAGTGTGAAATATAGTTCAACCACTCCCATGGCATGTCTGTTTACTTTTGAAATGAACCAATCAGGGGAGGTTACTGTTCATGAAAATGAGAAGATCCAGTCGGCGGAAGACCAGTGTTCGTCTAGCTGTCGCATCTTGTGTATGAGTCAACACATACTGCGCAGATACCATGGGAACAAGAAGCACAGAACGGTTCGTATTCTTTTACACCAAACTATGATCACTTAGTCAACATTATCCTGTTAGAATTGAAGAAAAAATGATATTAAAATTGGGAAACTGATGAAGAAAGGTATTCATAGTGGGGGGAGAGGTTATTTTTTGCTCATGAACTAATTTCTCAGCATCAGTGAATGGGATTGTTTTTATATATATATATATATATAAACAGGACGTCAGACGACCATGCAACCTTCTACACCTGGAAGCAAGTGATGAGAGAGCCACACAGTCTGAAAGACTCCATCATTTCGCAATCCGATGAATGGTTTCAAGACTGAGATGAATGTGTGAAAGATGCCAAGAGAAAATATCAAGATGAAAACAAAGCTACCCAACGAGTGATCATCAAAAAGTCCAGGAGAGTGCCTGTGTGTGCAGATGAAGTAGCCATGGTGAATCAACTAAAACATGCCGAGGGACTTCTGACTTTGTGTTACAGTTTCGAAGTCACTAAAATCGTGAGACGAATGATGAGCATCGTGACTGAGCACGAATTCAAAGTTCAACTCTTGGATGCTTATCTGCAGGTGTGCGAGGTCAAAGTCAACCCGGCATTGATCTTGGCTCACAACACGCTGTTCGAAAAGTCGAACGCTCTCTACCCGTACACCAAAAGCGAAGTCAAGGTGACCAGCATCCCGACCACTCAGCAGACGCACGCCATAGACAACGTCAGCAATCCTATCGCCAATTGATACGTCATGGGTCTGGTGGAAAATTCGAGTCTGAATGGCAGCTACACTGGCAATCCCTATAATTTCAAGTCATCCATGCTTAAAAAGATAACGCTGTACATCGACGGAGTCAGTGTGCCGGTTCAACCCGATGAAGCTGACGATGTCGCCTCTTACGTCAACATGCTCAATGGCATGGGACTGTGGAAGGAAGACAAGGGCAATGCCATCACCAGAAGCGAATTTCTCCTGGGGAATGCCTTGTTCGTCTTCGACATCGACACAATGTGCGCGGAGTCGGAGTACCTGAACTTGGTGAAATCCGGAAGCGTGAGGCTCGAACTGGAATTCAAATCGGCGCTCACCAGCATGCTGAGTTGCGTCGTCTTGAC